CTCTCTCTCTCTCTCTCTCTCTCTCTCTCTCTCTCTCTTGTGTTAGCTCTTAGTTTCATTGATTTGGCTACCTTAGGGCTGCGTTCCCCGCGCCCACGCGGTAGACAATTTCGAAAAAGGACTACCCGCACCGTTTCAATTTCGAAAAAGGACTGCGGCCTCCTCGGCCTCCTACTCGCAGCTACCGGTCCTACGTGGTCCTGGACCAAAACCTGTGCGGTACTACTGGTCCTGCAGTTTCAAATAAGATGCCACCACCCCCTAAACTGCCATGCCTTGTTTTTCCAGCCTTCCAACGACCGTATAATGAACGACGACGAAAAATGTTCTCAGGGGGGGAAACGCACCCCTGACGGGCTGCGAATAAGATGCCACCGCCCCCTAAACTGCCATGCCCTGTTTTTCCAGCCTTCCAACGACCTATACGATGACGAAAAATGTTCTCAGGGGCATAAAACGCACCCCTGACGGGCTGTGGACTTTTCCGGATCCGGACTTTTCCGGACCAGGCGACCAGGTTCTTTTCAGCAAGGCTGGGGCCATGTATTGGCGGTCTGAGGGACCTCCAAAGGCTCGTTCGCTCCAGCAGCAGGCCCAGAAATGCGGACGCAACCTTTCTCGGCCTTCTGGCTAAGATCAAGTGTAGTATCTGTTCTGATCAGTTTAATATCTGATCTGTGGTCCATCGGGCCACAACAAAAGAAAAGAGAGAAGGAAAAAAAAGAAATGCGGACGCGGGAACTTGGCTGCCTCGGCGCTGTCGGGGGGACCCAAGTGGGAATGGGAATGGGAATTTCCTGCGACGCCCTCGATAGAGTCGTTCGACATGAGACTGAGACGACGCCAAAGTGCCTACCCGGCGAGGGGGGGAAGGGGAAAAACGAGAAAGGAGATTGGCCGACGGCGAAGCTGGAAGATTGAAACTGTCATAGCACGCATGCTTTTGATTGATAGCATTTCATTTCGTCTGAGTGGATCGACGCGATCCCAGCTGTAAACGACTGAAAAGACTGAAACGATAGCGACAATGTTGGGGGGAAGAGAGAGATGGAACCGGTACCCAGGGGGCGGCATTGCCGCAGGGCACAAGAATGAATACAGGTACTACTCACACCTGCGGCTCACAAGCAAATTCCCGATCAAACGGCGGGTTGCGGGGTTCCCCAACCCGCGGGCACGACTTTCCATAATCACAGAATGGGGAGATGGAGAAAGATACAGTCGGCAAACTAGAGCAAGTCAGAAAGAGAGAGAGACGGACGTGAGGGAAGGTCCAGGGGGCGCAGGCTGTGCGGGCGAGAATGAGAGGTGGCTTGTGTGCGTGTTGATGAGGGGCCGTGCGCGGTTGTGTCTAAGGGTGCTCGCGCGCGCGCGCGCGAGAGAGAGAGAGAGAGAGGAGTGTGCGCTTGTGTGCGCGTGTGTGCGTGTGTATGTGTCTGCGCGCGCGCGTGTGTGTGTGTGTGTGTGTGTGTGTGTGTGTGTGTGTG